CTCAACCACGTTTCAGTTATTGCTATAATATCATAAGAGTCCGATGAGATAAGAGCCTCTAAATCATGGGGTCGTTTTAGTCATTTAAACATTTTCTTTGACTGCCTAAGACTTTTACACAGTTCTGTATAACTATAACAGCAAAGACATTCCTTTGGGTTACAGCTGAATGAGGCACTTAACCAGAATGTTTTCAGGCCTGTATTACAGCTATAATGTAAAACCAACAGTGTGGTTGCCAGTAAACTAATTATTGTTACTGCTGTTATTATGCAGGATAGCACTGGCAGTGTTAATTATATTTATTAAAATAATATTTTTCTATTTAATTGTTTTATCTATATAGATATTTTATATGTAATTGAGTGGTGCTTGTTAACCTAATGATGTTAGCTGATGTCAGAATTGCAGACCCTGATTGGCCCTGGTGATTTCTGTGGCATATCTGGGCACTTAAACTTGCCGCGTGCGTTTGTTTCAGGTGATCCAGCTCTGGCACAGCTCCGGGAGGAGAAGGAGTCAGCTGAGAGCCAGGTATCTCTCCACCAGATATTCCTTTCCTCTTGTTCATTCCAGAAAGAGAAGCTTTCATTACCATGTCATAACGTGAGTTCAGCTGGTTTCCTTTAAAAAGTGTTGATTTACTGTCAGGTGTTCAGATGAGCTCCATTCTGCAGCTGTGACATCCGCCTGTGCTGGGGAGAGATGGCCAGACGGAAGCTCAGACACAGTCTGATGCATGTGTGCTGCCTGTCGATGTGGCACCTTTCACACAGCACATGCCATGGATAATCGAAATCCAAAAATAATTTAAAATGAACTCCCTAAGTGCATTCCTGAGCCCAAAACCTATTTAATGAGGACCCTGTCTTCTATCTCATGTGCCATAATAAAGAATGAACAAGGAGAACAGTTGAATCTAATTTCCATGCACACTATAATCAAAATACTGTTGTATACTATACTAAACCTAGTTGTGTCAGATGTGTTAAAGTAATTTGATAAATGACAAACTAACTTCAGGCACAATTTTTGCATCATGGGATTAGAAATTTGTTCGTTTGACTCACAAATTACCCTTAAAATACATGACTGCTTTTTTAAGAATACATTATTGTGATGTTGTGACCCTGTGTGTCAATGCTTCATGTAGATAAAATCATTTTCCAGGCCCAGCGGATGGCTTTTGCACAGATAATACAGCTTTGACCAAAGACTTGCTTGTTTTATGGAGACCTAAGGGTGTTATGTGGAACAGTCCACTGTGGTTTTATTTTGTTCCTGTTGCTGATGTATTTTCATTGATTATGACAGTTTTGCCATAGGGCTGGATGTCAGTTAATACCTAGAAGTTATCAACACATTCATGCCACCTCTCTCACTTTTCTGTGTGTGTTTCATTTATCAGCCAGTAATGAGTCTCCCCTCTTCACCCAGGTCGACCTGCCAGTCATTATGAATTTGTACTGTTGGAGTGCGGTTGGCCCTCCTGAAGCTTAACCCATTTTTGTCTCTCTCCCACTCCCTTCCTTCCTTCCCCGATGTTGGCAATGCTCCCCCCTCAAAGCAGGCAGCGGTTCGTTACTGTTTCTCATCTGTTTGTTTTCAAGCATGTCTGTTTCATGTTCCTGTGCCATGATATATCTGTTCATTAAAGATGGAGGCAGCTGTTGGTGGGGGTGAGTGGGGGGGAGCAGGGGGAGGTAGGCCAATGTACTGGTTGTCTCCCAACAAAGAATCAGGCTTTCTGTGATACTTTCTATTCTAGTTAGTAATTTCCACTCCAAGTCCACCTTGGAATGATGAAATCTTTTCTCCTCAGGTTAATGCAAATTACTTACTTTGGTCTGATTTATCATTTGGCTTTAAATGCAGCAAAAGTTGTGCCAGTAGGCTAGTGGTTATGGACATGGACTCTGACCAGGAGGTTGCTGGTTGAAGTCCCCCTGCTGTAGTTCTTCTAGCTAAATTTTACAGAATGGGGCAGAAAAGCAAGGGAAGGAGATCCAGGCTATACCCCATACATTAGACACCTGTAGAACCTTCATAATTGTTATCCTTCCATAATTGTTAGTGGTCATTTCAATGACCCCCCCCCCCCCCCCGCGCGATACTGTCTGATTCACATTGACTGGGTATCAGGGAGGTGCTTTGTCCTTACTTCTGTTTTACCCACTGACTGAGCACACTGGTGAAAGTCCTTTGTCTGTCTCAGAGAGTTTGTGAGGTAGTCTTTGGATGTGGCCTCTCAGAGCACTGTGTGAATAGTACTTACTGCCTGTGTGGTAAACACACATTAATATATCTGCACATGTCAGAATGCCATTTTCAGGATCTCACAACGCTTATATATTGTGTAGATTGCCTAATAGTATGGGGAGCTGCGCATGTTTGCTGCTGGTTGCTTTTATTTATTTATTTGTTTGTTTGTTTGTTTATTTTTGCTCTGGACTGAGCTGGTCATGCTTTGCATGCAATGGTGATCCCTGTCCTGTTCGGAGCAGATCGACTTCCTGAACTCGGTCATCGTGGACCTGCAGAGAAAGAACGAGGAGCTGAAGTCTAAGCTGGAGAAGATTTCGGAAGCGGCACTCAATGGAAATAATCCTGACGAGCTCGACAGCTACGACTGGTACGGCCCTGAGTGGATCTTCTTTGCACATTCATGCTGTCACCAAGTGTGTTGAGTTTTTCATTTGTCAACAGTTTCGGTGAGGACCAGCCCAAAAAGAAGCCCCCACCACGGCTTTTCTGCGACATCTGTGACTGCTTCGACCTGCACGACACTGAGGACTGCCCCACACAAGCTCAGACGCCCGACTCACCGCCCCACACAGCTTACCACGGCAGCCGTGCTGACGAGCGGCCCTACTGCGACATCTGTGAGGTGTTTGGCCACTGGACCGACTCCTGCAATGACGACCAGACGTTCTGAGCCCTTGTCGTAACTTCACATGCCTCAGGCCCAGAACCCGACCGCATGGCAAACTTGCTCAGTTTGGATTGCCATTGCTATCTGTGTGATTATTATTATAATTATTATTATTATTATTATTATTATTATTGCCCTACTGTAAGCGGAGCTGCTTTCACTATCTGCCTGGAAACGCTTGCTCAGTTTTATTGTTTAAAAAAAAGACAATGCAATCATGACTACAAATTATACTGTTATCTTTTTTTTTTTTTGATACCCGTGCCATGCATTCTTTTTTTTTTTGCAAGTGGGTTCACACAACCTGCAGACATCAGTATTGTCCTGCATGTTTGAAAACCTGAAGAACTCTGTTCTCTGTTCACAACTTTGGCTGAGGCACTGTGTGTGAAGACCTGCCAAGTCAGCTTCTACGAACCGTTGCCCTTCACACTTCATTGTTTCTCTTTCCCCTTTTAAGTATTGCAGCTCCTTTTAACTGCCTTTGTATGAATGTGTTTAACTTATCATTTTCAAAGGATAAAATATTAGAGTTATCATGCTGTTATTTTACATATCACTTTTTGTTCCTACTGGTGTTTATCTGTACAAAAAAGCTTTGTTGAATGTTTCTCTCTATATAACTGTAAAATAAATATGAAGAATGCAAACTAATTCATAACTGTAAATACCAGCAATATTTTTTTGTTCCTTCCCAGAAGAGAATAGGTGATGAATATTCTTCTCTTGGTCTGTATGTGGCCCTCTGGTATTCCTTGGGGATTGATGTCAAATGAAAATTACTATTTGCACATCTAAACACAGTATTATAACTGAGTGCATAGTAATCTATGTCCTTATTAAATTGTGACAGTCTGTCAGTTGGCTGAATTTCCCTCCCAAATATCCATCCATCTTCTACAGACCCACAATCCTGAGAGCATAAGGCAATGCTGCTACCGTTCTTCCAAAATACATTGATGAAAAATTTGAATGTCAGTGTTATAGTAGAAATATGATCTTGAGTAGTCTGTAAATGTCTGCAATGCTTTAGGAAACATTTGTCTTATCTTTGTAATGAATCACACTTGATAAGCACCACAAGTGGTTTGAGTGATCAGATCACAATGCATCTTGGTGGTGGTTTTCACTTGTATTTAGCACTGCCTACTTGCGATCCAGTGTGCCAAGACACATTTTAAAACCAAGTGTAAATGGGGACAGAGACGATAGACAAATTATTTCTGCTTGTGTGATTTCCACTGTGACATATGGAGTGGTAAGTGTCATAGTGATTGACACTATTGGTTATTTATTTAGAATTTGAGACATGCAACCAGCATGGCTACCACACTAATCTGCCTGTCTTCGCATGTAGACAATGATAATCACCCAAAACAAGGTTGTGTCAGAGCTGGCAAAGAAGGAGGGTGATGGAGTGCTGCAGCAGAGGATCTGGATCTGATTTTCACAGTCACCTGATCTAAACCCAGCAGTGGTGACTGGGGATAATGTTGGTCAATGTGTCTTGTTTTAAAAGTGCTTTATAAATAAAGCTGACATTGGACCAGTAAGGAGTAAAGGAAAAGCAGCCACCTAGTGTTAAGCATATCTGGGAAACACTTATTGGAAAAGCAGGTGGTTATCTCATCAAGTTGGATATACCATGGACAGGAACTGCTATTTTGGAGAATATGAAATATGATAGTTTTGATTTGTTTGCCAATTTCTTTGTCACTGCATAATTCCATCTATGTTATTTAATAGATTTGAGGGTCTCAGTATTTTAAAATGTAGAAAATAATGAAAACCCTTCTCTGAGTAGAGTGTGTTTACAGAACCAGCCAAATTTTTGAGTACACATTGAAATCATCTCTGCTTTAAACTGCAATACTTGTCTATCAACAGGACTGGAAGTATTTTGTCTGGTTAATAAGCAACATTATGCAATATTTGGGTACATCTAAAAGTATACAATATTAGAAAGGCTAACTTTAATGGTATGAGACTGAAACTAGAAACTAAACTGGATGGAGTTAGATAGCAAAACGGTTGAAGAGGCATGGGACTTTTTTAAAAGCACATTGTTGCAAGTGCAAGAGGACTTCATACCTGTTTCCAGCAAAACTAAATCTAGGAAACGACAACCAAGGTTGTTTACTAAGGAAATTAATAATAAAGTCAGGAGGAAAAGGGCTCTGTTCCACAAATGGAAAATAACTAATGATTTCAAAATAAAGCAGGAGTATCCAAGTCTACAGGTTGAGTTAAAAAATAACATTAGACTGTCCAAGAGGAAAGTAGAAAGAAAAATTACATTGGAGGCTAAGGATGACAATTAAAGTTTATTCCAATATAGTAACTCCAAAAAAGCTCTAAAAGTTGAAATCACTAATTTGTGAGATAGTAAGGGCCTCATAATTGAAAATGAAATTGATATAGTAAATGAGTTTAATGATTATTTTACACGGGTGTTCACAGTAGAGAACATGAGTAACTTACCATCATTGAGTACGAATACAGCGTCGTCTATGACCGATATATGTATAACTGAGGGTGATGTGGTACTAAGCCTAGCTAAGCTCAAAATAAATAAATCGCAGGGCCCTGATGGCATCTTACCTATAGTCTTAAAAAAGATGAGGGATATTATTAGCCAACCTTTAACTTTAATATTCCAGAAATCGTTATATGTGTGTGTGGTACCTTCAGATTGGAAGCATGCTAATATAACACCCATATTCAAAAAAGGGGATAGAAGTAATCCAGCAAACTATAGGCCAATCAGTTAAACTAGCATTACTGGAAAAATAATGGAAGCTATAATCCAAATGAAAATGGTAGATTCTGATGGATAGCCAACATGGATTTAGGAGAGGTAGATCCTGTTTAACGAATTTACTTGAGTTCTTTGAGGCAGCTACAAGAGAAATTGATCACAAAAAGGCCTATGATGTGATCTACTTAGATTTCCAAAAGGCCTTTGATGTTGTCCCCCACAAATGGCTCTTGCTAAAGCTCAAAGCTGCAGGGATTTTAGGAACTGCAGCAGGTTGGATCGAAAAATGGTTAACTGACAGGAAGCAGTGAGTAGTTATTAGAGGCACAATGTCACAGTGGGCCTCCATTCATAGTGGGGTACCGCAGGGTTAAATTTTAGGACCACTATTGTTCCTAATTTACATTAATGATATTGACAC